AACTCCGTCTGGATGCGTGGGCTTTTATTATCCCAAACGATTTCTCTTTTTTTTTTTACAGTATGCTTCTTCCTGCGAAGGTGAACACATTAACACCGATAAATGTCAGAAAAACAGTATGTGTATTCTGTTGGGAAATTAGTGTGGTAATCAGAGGCGTTTCTAGATGTTCAGGGAGAATGAGTCGTATGCTATAGTAACCCCTGCAAAGAAGGTGATACCAAATTAATTATTAAAAAATAAAACACAAGGGATATATTTTATAGTTAACAGTATTTCGTGAAATTATAAATCTTTTCCAATCCAGTTAGGAAACTGATTTTTTTTTTTAAATATTGGTTTCTTGGAGCCAGACCAAACTGGATGTTAGATGTTTTACAGCATAACATCGTGAAAGAAGGCGTAGAGAAGACAAATAAAGAAGTGGATAAATGGTGTCTGCAATTGTTGAAAGAAGAACAAATCCACCACCCAATCCACCCGAGAAGTGCAAGATAAATACAAAAAACTGCGAAAATGGACTACAATTTTGTATCAGTGAGACGACAAAAGAAGAAGAAAACATGGAGCCTGTAAATACATGGATCGAAAGCAAATGCCTAAGGACAAGGATGTGCATTAAATGGGATAAATTTAAGAAAGGCGAAGAATAAAGAGACAATTTCAGGACAACCGCTTGTATCAACAGTTAAAGGAAAAGAAGATGGAAAAATATTGGACATGAGAACTAGCCACTTTATCGTACGCCGTGATTAGGATATCACAGAGACTCACGAAGTAGGTACTGAAACGGGCAGCAAATGGACTGAGGAGACAATAGTAATTCTAAGACGTACGTTGTTAGGAAATGCCAAAAAGGTGCCAAGATATAGTTAATGCTTCCAGTCCCAATGTTGGACGCACATGTTCGTTGTGTCACAGCCCCGGGTGTAACAAGGGTGCCCTAATATAACCTAGCGGTTGAACGAGTTTCTTGGTCTTGTGCCCGGGTGATCTTTGAATGGTGACACTTTGTGTCAGCGGGTGCTAGGTCGCTCAGTGCACGGTCCTAGTGGGGTTGATCGATACACACACACATACAGCCAAGATATTGAAAGGATTTTACAGGATATAACGGGATGAAGGACTAAACTGCGAGCCTTAGGAAGGAGACTTATAACCACACAACCGGATGATGATGACGCCATCAGATTATGGTGATGACATAGAGCCAGTGTTGCTTTGGGATAGTAAGATGTTGAAAAAAAAAAATCGATTGATTAGAACTTTCTTATAAGCTTAAAAGATTTTTCTGAGAAAAATGCTGAGAAAATATAGGATTAATAATAAGTACAAAAGTAATAAATACATTTTGAGGGACACTTCGCAGTGTTTGTTCAAATTAATTTCCTGGCATTTATTTCTCAAGCCAACAAAAACCACACACACTTTTCATCATTGTTCCTTGTGTAAACATTGCCATGAACTTCAGTTTAAGTGTATCCAATAGCAGACACGCACATTGAATGCATTAAGGTAGCCATCAGAAGTTCTAACACAAACAGTTTGTTACTAGAAATGCAGTTCATCATCGATGTAAGCAGCAGTTACAACAGATCAGTAACTGCACATGCAATTATTCACAAAAGGCACCTTGCAGTAATTCTGGAACAACAGGCCACTCGCTATTTTCCGAATCTAGTTTACAACACAAGCCACGCTGACCACAGTTTAAAAAAAAAAAATAATAATGAAAGTGAAATCCAAGTTCACTGTAGATGTACGACGAAACTATATCCTTCAAGTCTACATATGGAGGAAAATGCAACAGCCAATTGTTGTTAATAGCAAAGGAAACCTTGTATATCCTCAATGTTTACATGAACTAACACCTAATTAGTCGCCTTCTACGATTTGCTTGTTAGCGGGGCAGTGGGTGTATTCTTGTTCTTCTTCTCCCCCCCCCCCCCGGGGACCCCAGACCCCACACGGGGTCCTAATTGTTCTTTTTGTAGTACATGCAGTGTGGTGTTGTTATTATTCAGCTGTACACATCTTTCTGTCTCGTGTAGCGTCAGTCGACGCTACTCTTTTATGTGTCTAAACTGGACATCTTTTCTCTTGACATCCTTGTTTTTGTCTTCCTTTTCCAACTTTCCCCATTGTCACGACATAGTTAAGTTGTGTCCTTCTCACAACGTACTCACAGTAGATAGAGTGCTCTCATGTGATGCAAATAATCTTTCCTACGGCTCATATCTTTTAAGATATGATCAGGCTGCTTGATATCATGGTATTTCTGTACTTAAACATAACGACTTGCTTCAGACTTGCTCCCATTTGTTGTGGAGTTTTATTTCAGAAGGAATCTTTCCTTGTAAATACGAGAAGCATTTAGAACGTACTCAACGGGTCCCATTTTTTTTTCTCTTAGAGGATAATGAAGACAGCAAGCTGAAAATACTGCACACTTGAAATGTCAGTGCTGTATATGTGAAATAGCAGCTCATTCCGACAAAAAGAACCGCTGCATAAATCTGCTAAAAATAGAGGGTTAATGCAATGTACATTACTGACAGTGAATTGCTCTATAATGTATGACTGCGGAAAACGTAACTGTTGTGAACATTCCTCAAAATGTGTGTGATTTCAATGGAAGGTGTGCAGTTGATAGGAGCACATCGGTTTCCTCGGTTCGGAGAGTTAAAGCTTCAGAAAGCTCACAGCTGAACCCGAGGCTGTACACATGTGTACTTTATGCTGTAAAGAAATGGCTACATGAACTAGACAAAGCAGTTTATACAGGCGAGGCGTGCATTCAATTGTTTCCTTTTGGCGTAAAATCGTAGAAACAGGAGGAGATTATATAGAAAATTAGGATATTGAAAGAACATTAAAGATTATACTGTCAGTGAATTTCATAGTTTGTGCACAAACAATTTGCGAGATCGAAATCACTTCATTACTTTATGAATACCCCTCGAACTTTTCTGTGTTTTTTTTTCTATTATTCAAGATATAATTACGAAGAGCAACTGTTGATTACGAAAATTAGAGAAGGAAAGTGAATAGGTTAGTTAGATTTTGCGAAGAGGTTACTAGAACATTATTCTAAGAAGAATACTAAGAATTGTTTGGTTGAATAAAAGAGTGAAGATGGCGTGTGAAAGGAACATTTCATTGTGGTGTTGATTGATATGACAACAGAGTTAGACAGACGCGCCGGAACTTACAAACTTTTTTGCCACATAATTCCATGTGAATAATTATAGAGGAACTGATCCCTCTTCGCCCGCCCCTTCCTGATATTTTAAGGGTGCCAAGTGCCTGTACCCAACCCATGTATATAATTTATCTTTGTAAGTATGTGTTGATATGTTTCATATTATTGCAGATGTAATATTATATGTAGTTGTCATTAAAGCATAGTTATTATTATTATTATTATTAATATCAATAGTATTATTACGCATTTATTTGCCCCCTAGAAAATATACAACGGGTAGACGACCCCGTCCCCTTTCCGCCCTTTTCAACGTATTTTCTTTCTGTCGATGCCCATGGAATTAGATCTCCCACGTTCTTTGGACACCTCGCGAACGGTAATGAACCAGAAGCTAGGACAATAAGGTGGATGAAGTGAACGTGAATCAGGTCAAGAACTAGAAGGAGACAGGAACGATGCCTTTCATTATTGCTCATACTAAACCATTGGGACTTTTAATATAACCGAAATACTTCAATTTCCGATTCAGTCCTGGCGTTAGCTGTCTGTCAATAAATCCACTTCGGCGTTCAGATAGTTTAGAGCGGTGTTTTGCAGTTGGCGGTCTGCGGTTAATGGGAGCGGTAATATAAAAAGAAACTTAACTTTACAATCATTATTATAAAGTGCTTTGCCGTCTGGTGCTGGCGATCATGCCTCTCCACAATCTGTGATCTGTAACTGCGTGTGTCAGATCGTGTGTTGAAACCCCATCATATCATGACACAGGGTCTTCCTCTGTCTCATTTCTAGAGATCTTCTGGGGAATTTACTTACAGTCCGAGATATTCGTTCTATCCAAGTATGCATGGTCCCGCTCTAGTTGTGTTTTTATTGTCTAAATGACGGGGCTCTCTTAGTTATACTATCTGGTGGTAGTCTTGATACATGTCTGAATCATTTGATCTGTTGTCTCTTGATGTCGTTTAGTACTGATTCTGTTCTGGTATCGTGATTTCTGATCTTGTATGTGTATATGTGTGACTATGTCAAAGAGTTAGAGAGTGAGTGAAAGAGTGAGTGAGTGAGTGAGTGAGTGAGTGAGTGAAAGAGTAAGTGAGTGCGTAAAAGAATGAGTGAGTGAGTGAGCGAGTAAGTGAGTGAGTGAGTGAGTGAGTGAGTGAGTGAGTGAGTGAGTGAGTGAGTGAGTGAGTGAGTGAGTGAGGGAGTGAGTGAGTGAGTGAGTGAGTGAGTGAGTGAGTGAGTGAGTGAGTGAGTGAGTGAGTGAGTGAGTGAGTGAGTGAGTGAGTGAGTGAGTGAGTGAGTGAGTGAGTGAGTGAGTGAGTGAGTGAGTGAGTGAGTGAGTGAGTGAGTGAGTGAGTGAGTGAGTGAGTGAGTGAGTGAGTGAGTGAGTGAGTGAGTGAGTGAGTGAGTGAGTGAGTGAGTGAGTGAGTGAGTGAGTGAGTGAGTGAGTGAGTGAGTGAGTGAGTGAGTGAGTGAGTGAGTGAGTGAGTGAGCGAGCGAGCGAGTGAGTGAGTGAGTGAGTGAATGAGTAAAAGTGAGGGGGAAAAAAGCTATAATCTTCATGACAAAATTCTATCACATCCTGGCATGTGAAGATCTAGAATTCATCCACTCAACTAGTACGTCCTAGTTAATGACATCGTTTACAGTCTCTACATCCCTTTGTTCCAAGTCCTGATGACAGCTCTTAGTAAATCTTCTTCAGCATTGAGGTCTATTAGAACTATTTTTGTTCCGAATTGGTGGTCTGTGGAAACATGATCGCTAAGATTTTTTCTTATCTCTTCCCCAGAATGTAAGCATCCTGACCAACAGTGACCGCGGCAGCATGTTTCTGGTCCGGGGCAGCAAGGAGAACAAGTACCTGGTGTCCAAGCTGTTTGACGTGACTGAGTCCAGCACTTTGGAGCAGTCCATACACACAGAGGCAAATGAGATTATAGTTCCTTTCGGAGTTGGCATCGCTGGCAACGTTGCCAAGTCCAGGGAAGCCATTAATATCAACGATGTGTATGCAGTAAGTAGAAAGAGAAACATTTTAGAAAGAGCACACATGCTACCTTTTTAATCTGCTCAAGACTTTACACTATGATAACTGAAAAAAGAATTAGAAGGAGGAGGAGGAGAAAAGGAGGAGTAAGAGGAAGAAGATGGAGGAGGAGGAGTAGAGAAGAAGGAGGAAAAGCAGATAAGGAAGAAAAAAAATGAAAAAGAAGAAGAAGAAGAAGAATAAGAAGAAGAAGAAGAAGAAGAAGAAGAAGAAGAAGAAGAAGAAGAAGAAGAAGAAGAAGAAGAAGAAGAAGAAGAAAAGAAGAAGAAGAAGAAGAAGAAGAAGAAGAAGAAGAAGAAGAAGAAGAAGAAGAAGAAGAAGAAGAAGAAGAAGAAGAAGAAGAAGAAGAAGAAGAAGAAGAAGCGACACAACAACGTGAGGATGAGAAGAAGAAACTCGGTGCTACTGCTGCTCTACTTCTAATATATTGATGATGATGATTATAAAGCCTGGGATTCTTACCACAACGCCCATCTCGTGCCCTTTTTTTTTTTTTTTTTTTGGGTACATAAAATATCACCCTAAGCACTATTTACCAAAAAATTTTCATGGCTTTCTTAAGTGTATTTGCTTCTCTGTAAACAGTTATGTGCGTGACAGACGTCAATCTCAAAGTGCTGAATGTCGTTACTTAGTATTTCACACTTGCGTGGCAATGCCTACTTTGTGGTAGCTTTCATAAATACCCTCGTACCACACAGGGCAATGGGTTGCATTTATTACCATAGGAAGCTACAGTATAAGCGATTTATAGAGTTGAAAATGATATCCAAGATTTGTTCATATTGACTTCTTCTTCTTCTTCTTCTTCTTCTTCTTCTTCTTCTTCTTCTTCTTCTTCTTCTTCTTCTTCTTCTTCTTCTTCTTCTTCTTCTTCTTCTTCTTCTTCTTCTTCTTCTTCTTCTTCTTCTTCTTCTTCTTCTTCTTCTTCTTCTTCTTCTTCTTCTTCTTCTTCTTCTTCTTCTTCTTCTTCTTCTTCTTCTTCTTCTTCTTCTTCTTCTTCTTCTTCTTCTTCTTCTTCTTCTTCTTCTTCTTCTTCTTCTTCTTCTTCTTCTTCTTCTTCTTCTTCTTCTTCTTCTTCTTCTTCTTCTTCTTCTTCTTCTTCTTCTTCTTCTTCTTTCTTCTTCTTCTTCTTCTTCTTCTTCTTCTTCTTCTTCTTCTTCTTCTTCTTCTTCTTCTTCTTCTTCTTCTTCTTCTTCTTCTTCTTCTTCTTCTCTTCTTCTTCTTCTTCTTCTTCTTCTTCTTCTTCTTCTTCTTCTTCTCTTCTTCTTCTTCTTTCTTCTTCTTCTTCTTCTTCTTCTTCTTCTTCTTCTTCTTCTTCTTCTTCTTCTTCTTCTTCTTCTTCTTCTTCTTCTTCTTCTTCTTCTTCTTCTTCTTCTTCTTCTTCTTCTTCTTCTTCTTCTTCTTCTTCTTCTTCTTCTTCTTCTTCTTCTTCTTCTTCTTCTTCTTCTTGCTTCTTCTTCTTCTTCTTCTTCTTCTTCTTCTTCTTCTTCTTCTTCTTCTTCTTCTTCTTCTTCTTCTTCTTCTTCTTCTCTTCTTCTTTTCTTCTTCTTCTTCTTCTTCTTCTCTTCTTCTTCTTCTTCTTCTTCTTCTTCTTCTTCTTCTTCTTCTTCTTCTTCTTCTTCTTCTTCTTCTTCTTCTTCTTCTTCTTCTTCTTCTTCTTCTTCTTCTTCTTCTTCTTCTTCTCTTCTTCTTCTTCTTCTTCTTCTTCTTCTTCTTCTTCTTCTTCTTCTTCTTCTTCTTCTTCTTCTTCTTCTTCTTCTTCTTCTTCTTCTTCTTCTTCTTCTTCTTCTTCTTCTTCTTCTTCTTCTTCTTCTTCTTCTTCTTCTTCTTCTTCTTCTTCTTCTTCTTCTTCTTCTTCTTCTTCTTCTTTCTTCGGGATTCTTCTTCTTCTTCTTCTCTCTTCTTCTTCTTCTTCTTCTTCTTCTTCTTCTTCTTCTTCTTTCTTCTTCTTCTTCTTCTTCTTCTTCTTCTTCTCTCTTCTTCTTCTTCTTCTTCTTCTTCTTCTTCTTCTTCTTCTTCTTCTTCTTCTTCTTCTTCTTCTTCTTCTTCTTCTTCTTTGGAGGCGGAGTCTTTCTTCTTCTCTTCTTCTTCTTCTTCTTCTTCTTCTTCTTCTTCTTCTTCTTCTTCTTCTTCTTCTTCTTCTTCTTCTTCTTCTTCTTCTTCTTCTTCTTCTTCTTCTTCTTTCTTCTTCTTCTTCTTCTTCTTCTTCTTCTTCTTCTTCTTCTTCTTCTTCTTCTTC